CCGTTTTATGATTTCGAGCCGACCCCAGTGGCGCGCTGGAGGGGTGCAACACTGCTCTGCTGGGGTCAGAGCCTTTGATCCGCGCGTCCGTTTGTCCGGGCTGTTGGGGAGGGTGCGTGCGCTTTGGGGAGCCGAGGCATTTGTCATCCACAGAAAGAGAAAACATCAACAGGTACTAAATACTGCTGAACATGACACCATCAAAAGCAACATGGGATGTAAAACAGCAGGTGACTCTGACGCTTTGATTAGATTGTTTTAGGAGAGAGCGATAATAATGAGGGCTGTTTGGACACCTTGACTGCGCGCGCGCGCGCGCGCAATTAACCTGTGACCATCAAATGTGCATGCGCCTCACCATTATGGATTTTCGATTGTACTGCTCCTTAATTGACTTGAGCTTGTCAAGTCGCAAGAAACGCTCATCGATATGACATTATTAAACACAATTAACACTCATGACTATCGATTAGCTCATTACATCCACCAATAGTCCTGCGTTTCTGCAACAAATGTTAACCTCGGTTGAAAGTAATCCAAGATGAATGATAAATTAAATAATGCAACAGAAATGTTTTATGGCACGTCACTTAAGTTACCGATTTCCAATGAAGGACGTGTAAATAAGTGTAATTTATGTAGGCTAACATGATTTTTAATTATTGGCTATTATGTATTTGGTAAAAATACAATAACACACTAAAATGTTGCTTTAACTTAAAAAATATATAAGTCACGTGGTTGCCTTAAAATGTAATACATGGGGATTGGTTTAATCAACAGGCTCTGAACCATATTAATTAGCTATACTTTACAAAAGAAAAAAGCAGCAGCACATAGGCTATTATTATGATTTTATTTGAATGTGTAAATATATAAATATTATGTTAGTTAATATAAACCCATGCTAAATTCTGGTTGGAGGCCTAATAGCTTATGCGAGTTTTACTGGCCGTTTTTGAGAGCAACAAATCATCAACATGATTGGTTTATAGCTCATACCCATAATGAAGGAACGTGCATGCCAATCACACTGCGTGGATTTACAGCTTCATAGACACGAGCCCATTAACCTCGTTTTAATTTCAAACGACCAGAACAATTTTAGGATTTGTTTTACATAATTATGCAATTTTTATTTATTAACCCACTTTATTAAATGACCACATCTCTTAATAAATGCGTATCTCTTCATTTATGTACCTATACACGTGGGGTCAAACTGTGCCAAGAGGGTATTTTGGATATAAAGTAACACCTCACTACACAAAACACCCGATAGGTTCATCACAGTCAAATGTCACCGCTTGGCTCCACGTTAATGCGTCTGTCCCCGTATCATGTTTATATAGTAGTTAGTACAGCTGTTTGGGTGAGAGAGAGAGAGGGAGAGAGAGGAATGTTAGAAACGATCTTAAAGTGCTTATTTTGGGTCCGTTTAGGCAGCCTGAACAAGAGAACGGAGAAAAATACTAGTTTTCTATTAGATTAAATAAATATTATTTTAATATTAGGTTTGTTATATATTTAATAGTCTCTACAATACTAATCAATAATTTGCATGTCACAGTTTTTATTGACATTGCATATTGCATTTAATTTTTATTTTTTTTTGGTTTGCACGAAATAATCAAATCAAAAATAATCTACAAAAATATTTACATTTTCTATAGAATTATGGAATTATTTAATTTTCTTCTAGTTGCATTTTATTCTAAAATGGAATCATGTTTCCATTTTATAATTCTATTCTATTAAATGCTATTCCACACTGTAAACAAATAATGTTGGTTTTAATTTAAAAAAAAGTAAGTTACCTGGTTGCCTTAATTTTCAGTTCATTGAAATCATAAATTTGAGCTAATGCGATAAGGAGATTGGTTTATCCAACAAAGAACTCAAAATAGTATGTTATCTGACATTAATATGTTGATTTAAGTTGATTTGACAAAAGAAAAAAAAGTTGTGATAAATTATGAAAATATTTTTGTTACAGTGTATTTTTTCTACCGTTGCAGAAAATGTGGTTAACGTGATCTCGTGCACAGTAGCATGATCCTCATCAATGTTTCCAGCCGCCAGAGCCCTGCCACTTCCAGAAGCGTATCAGTGCTGAGGGAAGTGACGCAGGGACGGGCTGGGTGAAAATAAAACCCCGCTCCCCCTTAAGTCTTGATGATTGATGATGTCAGGTGTTCTGTTTCTAATTAACGTTTAAATTAGGCCGAAGAAACCCTTTCGAATTAGCGCTGCTCCGCTTGAGACAGTCAGGATCCTCTCTCTCAGAGCCGCTCGCGGAAGAGAAATGGCGGGATTATCTTTAGAACTAATAATGCTCGCGCATTTGAGAGAAATGTAACACCATGTTCAGCTTCGGTTTCTCTGTGGGGTAATGTGAATGTGCTATTGTTGGCGCTGAAGGGCATAATTCTCCCTATCAGAAATCCTATCTATCCACATTACATTAATACCCATGTATCGTTTAGTAGGTTTAGCAGCTTTCCTCTGACCTGGCATTCTGAGGTGACCAATTCGTTATAGACATCTGAACCCGACAGGACTAATAATAATCATTATTGCACTCTAAAAAATGCTGGTTTGTTTCAACCTATGGTTGGGTCAAATAGCTATGGAAAAATCCAAGTGTTGGTTTAATTTTTCTAATTGCATTTTTAATTAAAAATGTTTGTTCACATTTGACCCAACCATGGGTTGAAACAACCCAGCATTTTTTGGAGCGTGCTAATGCAATCACTTGTAAATTTTAAACAAGACAACATTTTGCTTACACTAAAAAAATGATGGGTTGCTTTAACCCAATTTTGGGTCAAATATGGACAAACCCAGCCATTGGGTTACATTTTTTAATTACATTTTTAATCCAATGTTTGACCCAAAATTGGGTTAAAACAACCCAGCATTTTTTAGAGTGGTCATTTTTGACTAATTTAATATCAAGACCTAACTCTAAACAATGTGTTTTCAACCTCTGTATGGTTCAAATGGACAAACCCAGCCATTGGTTATTTTTTTTTTTTTTTAAATAAATTTTTTAACCCAATGATTAGGTTTGTCCATATTTGACCCAAACATGGAATGGAACAACTCAGCATTTTTAGAGTGCTCTTTCATTTCTCTATAATTACAAAATCATTACATGTCTGTTGATATTTAAATTCATATTGTTAGAGACATTAAATGTTACTTAAATGGAATTTAAAATAGCTTTACACTCTAAAATTGCTGGGTTGTTTCAACCCTCAGTTTGGGTCAAATATGGACAAACCAAACCCAAAGGTTGGGTTAAAAATGCAATTACAAAATGACAGTTTAAAGTGGAAGTTGGGTTAAAATTTTAAATTTTAACCCAACATTTGGGTTTGTTCATATATTTTACCCAAATTTGGGTTAAAACAACCCAGCATTTTTTAGAGTTTATAGGTGTATTCTAAAATTCCATTTATTTATTTATTTATTTTTCATTTATTTATTTATTAATACATGATTTAAAATGAAATGCTGTGAGGGTGTGACGTTACCGTATGGATCCATGCATTGTTGCTCATTTGCCATAAAATATTATATTGAGTTTGGCTGCGTGTCGCCCACGTCGACGGCACTAATAGAATGTCGTGCTGTTTTACTGCTCGTGTGGAGCTTGGCTCGTCCCAGTCCCTGTACGGATGTCACCATATGGTTTCCTTGGCACGGACAATGCGATATTCCCGCGAACTGGCCATACATCGCCAATGACTCGTGTAAGAGGGACATCTATCACCCCAATCGATTATTGAAAGCCTGTTAAATATTAGCAGATGTCACATCGCCACTTGTTTTATTACCCAATGTTTTACATTTATGGGGAGACCACCAAAATATTCACCACTGCAGGCCTCAGCAAAGGTTTAAGAGAAAAATTATAAATTTATATAGCCTATACAATACATAACAATGTTCATTTTAAACAATAAACTAAAATATTAAAAGCATACAACTGAAGAGTTCCGTGCATGCTATTTAAAAATATTTTTGAGCAGATAGTAAAACAAAAATCGTATTAGCCTAATTAATCTTAGCCCTTGTATGCTTTAAATATGTATTACAAGATCAAATATACATAGGCTATGTGTACAAGGAAATATCTGTATTTTGTTAAAAGCAAGCTGAAACTAGATTTAAAAAAAACATATCGCATAATAAATGCAATGTATAGCACAAAGAAAAAAACACGAAGTGCGGTGGGAGAATACGTGGGAATTTTTTTTATTATTATTCTCTTGATCCGTTTCTTCAGTTCAGAATATTACATCAGTCATTTCTCTCCTCAATTTATTGTTGTCTTAAATCTTCTAATTAGTGTTTTGAATCAAGAAGTCGATGTATTCTTACCTGTGTCTTCACCAGTGTCCCACGAGCATCATCCGAAACCCTGTCCGAAGCTGCGCGTGTCAGAACAGCACTGCTGCCTTCTCCCCTTCTCCCCTTCACCCACGTGCATTTCCACAAATGCATAGAATGGGATTGCCGTGCTGAATGAGATATAGGCTATTATAATATTTTGTGTGTATGGAATCCTATAAAAACAACCTTTACAACAAACCACTTGGTCAATATCCAGCGTACGTATGATTAATTTGATATTAAAAATGAAAAAAAAAAAAAAATGTCCACCAGCAAAATGCATGTCTTGCTTATAAAAATGTCGGTGCTTTGGAAAGATCAACACCGTTAAAATTGGCATAACATAACATAGGCTATATATGTTTATGTTAGTGTTGTCCAAATCTCATGCAGTTTGTTAAACGATAAAATCCATATAATTAATTTTTATTGGACTGGAACGATCACAAGCTTTGCATTCTGATCTCGTGTGTTCTGATGACAGTTATACACGAGGTGTGAGGAATTATGCTGTCATCCAAAACTTGAAAAATCACATGCTACAATATCTCAGTATAATTAGTTGCTCCCATGGACAATATTATTAATTCTTAGTTCATTGATGTCTTGTTGAATGTTTATTTTGTTTTATTTGGTAATATTTTGTACTATAGGCGACGTTATTATTATTAAACTGAATATAGATTCGAATGCACATTCACATAAAAAACAGAATGCTGTTGGTGTTAATGAGCACACACACATACACTCTCCCTTTTCAGGGAGGTATACGCGTGGAGCACGTGGTTTGCCCTAAGTGGGAGTGGGATGCATCAACAGATGCATAAACATACCGAGCCATATCCCCTCTCTTTAAACTTCAGGGGGAAACTCCTCCTATTCTCGGTCCAATTCATTATTGTGGTCTGGCCCTTTAAGACAGAGCAGCGGGTCAGCAAGTAGTGTAGTGTTTCTCTAATTGAACTTCACAAAAGCAATCAACAAGAACTAGTTAGCGGTTGCTTGCTGTTTTGAGCCTTCCTCAGACACGGCTGTGGTGAAGATCCTCATGGAGCAGCTCAGAGAACACTGGAGCCGCCGCGTATGAGGACTAAAGTTCGGGTGCCCGTGACTCCTGAAGCATGGTGCTTTTGGAGAGCCACTTCAGAGTGAGGAAAAACGTTTAAAGAGAGGAATAGTCAAGGCTTTTGTATGCATAAACAAGTTTGAACGAGATAGGTGACTTCTATTCGAAATAGTTTCTTGGGACTGAGATGACCTCCAGCTCTAAAGACATGAAGGCAGGCTCCGTTTTGCAGTCCAGCGGCGAGGAGAGGCGGCGGGGTCCCTTGGACCAACTCCCACCTCCGGCCAACTCCAACAAGCCTCTCACCCCTTTCAGCATTGAGGATATCTTAAATAAACCGTCCGTCAAGAAGTCCGTCGGTAGTCTGTGCCCTCCGCGGGTGCTGGAGAAAGTGACCGGCTCGAGTGCGTCTCGGAACGGGATCAGCGCTCCGTCCTCGCCGTTATGCGCTCTGGAGGAGCTGGCGAGCAAAACATTCAAGGGTCTGGAAGTCAACGTTATACAAGCTGCAGAAGGTAAAGGCAGAATGTTTTGTCTCTTTTTTTGTGTGCTTACATTCAGATTGTGTTTACGAATCCATGCACGAGTTTCAAATTCGCAAATGGAGGTGTAGGCTACTTTTGGAAGTGTTATTGAATAATAGCAGTAAGCTATAATATGTGCATTTTACAAATAATATCGAATGCTTATTTTTATAAGCATATACAAAATCAATAATGTAAAGTAGGCTATATATAACAAAAATATACTTTTAAGTCAAAATTATTGATTTTTTTTTTAGTTTCCGTGATTACCAACTTGTTTTCTTCCGCATTTTTTTTGTTATACACATTTTCAGATATTAAATTAGATTTTTTTTTTTCTGATCTAAATGTCAATAGTGATTCCTCGAGTGTGTCAGTATTTCAGGAATTTCATCTATACCCCCTACAAATTAAAAGGTTCTTCGATAGTTAATAAAATATATATATTATTTTCATTATATAGGCCTAGAGTTTAAATCAGTTTCTTTGACGATTAAAATGGTTTGTCTGATTATTAGACTGGTTTCATGATTGTTTAAAATTCCAGTAAAATTAAGTTTGTAGCTCTAAAAATGTCCCAAAACCTTTGTTTTCAGAAATGTAGCTTAATTTGAAGTCAATAACAAGCTAAATGTACAAGAATTGACATATAATGACGTTCATGTTGACATTGCATGCTGTCTTCAGTGGGTCACACTAATGGTTAAGGTCATCTGTAATAGGACTGAGGCCAGTTCTGTGGCGTGATAGGCTGCTTGATTAACACATCAAATATTTCGAATTTACTTGGCAATCAAAAATTCAGATGTTTTGGAAAGTTTCTCCCCCTTTTTGCAAGAACAGCTGTTATGCAGCTGGAACGAACAACTGCGGCCTATCGCATAACACAACATGTGTACACTCTTAAAAATAAGGGTTCTAAATTGAACCAAACAGGATTTTGCAGCTTAATTCCACAGAAGAACCTTTTTTTAAGTTTTACAAGGTTTCTGATGCTTCCAGTGAACCTCTAATGTTGCATTAAATACTTGTTTAATCTCCTTAGAAGCAAAACAAGAACAATAAACAGCCAAAAATAGGACCATTGAAGTACTTCCAAATAATGCTCACTGTAACAAAAAAATCTTTTCATGATTAGTAATCACAACATTTTTTCTTTTGTCAAATCAATTTAAATAATTTATTTAGTTCAGATAACATATCATTTTGAGTTTATGAGGATTAAATCATTCTCCTTCATTGTATTAACTCACTTTTTCCATTTCAATGAACTTAAAATTTTAAGGCAACCACTTACTTTTTTTAAGTTAAACCAACAAAAATGTTTTACAGAAACTTGTTTATTTCAATTTTACAGAATAAAACGTTTGAAAAGTAAGTCTGAATTGTGACCAAGTAGTCCTCACACACACACACTCACTCACAGTTATTCCTGGAAATCAACTCTCCTTTCTTTCCATTTAAAGGTCGCGAACATCTCAACGGCTTCGGCCAAAGACAGGCCTCCAAAAAACGGCGGAAGTCCCGCACGGCCTTCACAAACCACCAGATCTACGAGCTGGAGAAGCGCTTCTTGTACCAGAAATACCTGTCACCGGCCGACAGAGACCAGATCGCGCAGCAGCTGGGTCTGACCAACGCGCAGGTCATCACCTGGTTCCAGAACCGACGGGCCAAGCTCAAGAGGGACCTGGAGGAGATGAAGGCGGACGTGGAGTCCCTCAAGAAAATCCCTCCGCAGGCGTTGCAGAAACTGGTGTCCATGGAGGACATGGAAGACCCTCACGGTGGCTCGGGGCCCATTTCTCCCAGTCTCTCTCCGAGGGCCTTTCCACAGTCCCCGTCCTCGTCCAGAGGCCAAACCACAGACGAGTTCTCCGAGGAGGACGAGGAAATCGAGGTGGACGATTGAAAGCAGGCCCTCGTTTTCAGAGAAGGGCGTTTTTCACAACTTTTGCACGGACTCTGCGGAAGAACTCGAAGGTTTAAGTCTCCTTTGTTTTTAATTTATTGAAAGGACCTCTACAGATCGAAGACATGGTTTAAGGAATACGCTTTCATAAGATCTGAGAAATTCTTAGAGATAAATGGTACAGTATCAAGACTGCAACATGTGTATGTACATTTTAAGCTTTATTTCTCAGCTCGATTTTTTTCGAAGGAATCGTGTGCAATTGTTTACACCGTTCAACACACATTTATGACCGCTGTGGAACCTCTATGCCAAAAGTGATTTTCAATTCAATTCTCAGCTGAATAGAATTATATATTTATAAATAATTTCAAAAAAAGCAAATTTATTCAGTCTTCATTCTACATTGTAATTGTCAAGACTCATTTCACTATATCAGTCCCTGGCACAATTCCTACAGGCATTATTTAACAAAGAAAAAAAAAAATGTATGTCCAAAACAATGCAAAGGGCAAGGTTGTGTATATATATAACAAGTTATGATGCATCTAACTCGTTAAATTTATTGTAACATTCTATTTAATCCTCATTTATGTAAATAAAGGGTATATGTAATTTCACAATGTTTCCTTACCTTGAGTCAGAATTTAATCATGCATTGTATGCTGAGTTGAATTATAAAATAACAATTGGCATAAATTTATGGATATAGGAAATCCACTTTTCTTTACTGTAAAAACGTTTTCATTCATTTCACTCATCACAAATAAGTCTCTTTTTTTAACAATTCTCTTAATCTGTAATTATATTCACAGTGGTTGAAAACGTTTAGCACCATCTTAAAATTTAAGACAGCCATTAAATTTAAATTTAACATTTTAGCGGCATTATTATTATTGTTTTGACAGTGGCAAAAGTTTCATGCGTAAAATACCCTAATGGCACACTCTCTCGAGTTAAACAGCTGAGGGAGGCAGAGCACTTTTACACATCGCTTCATTGTGTGTGTTAAGAGTGTTTGTGTGTGTGTTAAGTGCCTGAAGCTTAATTAGGACACTTGAACAAGGTTCCCCCCTCTCACATTGTCACGAGGACAACATAAAGCTTGCTTTCCTCCTCGCGCCATATGGTTTATGAATCTTCTCTAACACAAACTAGTCAACATGATTGATTAGGTTTACCCGCCTTTGAGTGCGCATTAACAGTTTCAGTCGGTCGGGCCCGAATAATACCCCACATCTGTGCCCGTGTGTTAAAAACGCCCATGAATAGCAGATTATTTGCATGCGGTTCCTAATGAATAAATCTCAATGGGAAGCCGGTGGAAATGGGGAGGATTGTTGCATCCTGGTCTGGCGAATTTCTTTCGGCCCATTTGTGTGCGATCACGGCAGCAGTTTTGGGGCAGAGAGAAGATGGAAGTACAATTGGCCTAATCGCTTGGAATAGTTGGGGTTGAAAAGTCAAGCAGATTTTTTTTTTTTTTTTCAGAGCGCATTGTGGAAAGACTCGCCGCATTCTCAGAGCTCAGTTTCTGCTCTAAATGCATCGGGGTCCAACTGAGAATAGCGATGATTGGAATTTGAAGGTAGCCAGCCTATATGAATATAGGCTAAATATCGTTGGACTATTGAAAGCCTTGATTACACTGTGTGAAATTTTTCGAGAAAACAATAAGCGCTTTAAACACTCTGAAAAGACCCAGATCAGCATGTTTCACTTTAATATAGCCTAGGCTGTGTTTTTAAAATATACTTTTAGCAAATCTGTATATAGCCTAGGCTACATAACTTTTCATGTAAAGGCGGTAAAAGTAACCTTGCTATTTCCTACATCAGATAGGCTAAACGCACGTGTGTGTTTTTGTAACAGGCTGTGTTGCAGACATTGTAAAATCATTATTCTAACTCTATTTTCATTTACAGTCCGAATTATGGCAAAGACAATATAAAAAGCCATATAATAGCAATAAACCAATTAAAATAATACTTTACGTAGGCTATAGCAATGTAGGCTATTTGCTTATAAATTGGCGGGTATACTTCAAAATTACTATGCTAGGCTATAAATTAGATTCTTTAAAAATAGCGGCTATACCTATAGGCTCTTAAGATTATTTGCTATTACAGAGGGGAAAAAAAACGAAATGAAACCAAACATTTTTAGCCTTGATTATTTTTTTAATACACTCTAGAAAATGCTGGGTTGTTTTAACCCAAAGTTGGGTCAAATATGGACAAAACCAAATGTTAGGTTAAAATGTAATTCAAACATTTGACCCAATGGCTGAGTTTGTCCATATTCGACCCAAAGATGGGTTAAAACAACCCAGCATTTTTTAGATTGTATCGAATCGCGAAAAATAATCGAAATTACATTAGAGTCCTATATTGGTGACGTAGTCCATTCATTTAATTAATTTCGTTTTTTAAAGTCATATCTATGCATAAATATAGCCCATGTAAATATTTAATGTAAAATAAAATAATTGCGAAAAAGATTTCTTTTTCTTTAATTGAAAATTCACCGCAGAGTTGTTTTAAAGCCTAAAATTATTGTATTCTATATGATTTCAGGCTACTTTACATGAGGGAGAAAAACAAAACAAAATGCCTATCGTAATATTTCGTAGGCTACTAAAATAGACAACTATAGTAAACAAAAATTGGTACAAAGCAACATTAGCTATTCATTGACCCTCCAAATTATTAGGTTTGTATTTTTTTTAATTAGTATTTTAACTGTAAATCTGTATGAATGTATAATGATAAAATGTAGGGCTATTTGGTTTTAAGGAAAATACATGCAGGAAAAAAAAACATTATAAGATATATATTTTCAACAACAACAAAAAACAGATTAAAAAAAGAAAGAAACGCATAGGCTACTGACATAGAAACACTGGTGGGCACAGAGGGAACATGCAATTTGGTAAATAATAATTTTACTTAATTTTACCAATTTTTCCTATTACAAACTTCGTGTATTTCCAAACAGTGTGTGTTTATAAGCCTATATTCCCTTGTTTCACGAGGCAATTTGAAGGTAGCCTATGAATATAAATAGATTTGGACTATTGAAAGCCTTGATTAGCCTACACCGTGTGAAAATATTCGAGAAAACAATTGAGCGCTTTAAACAGACAGGACCCTCGGATGATAGAGCAGCAAGTTTCACTTTAGAGAAATATAGACTGTGTTTTTAAAAATATACTTTTAGCAAATCTGTAGGCTTTTCTTGTCACAACTGTTAGCCAACATCAGCATTGCTTTCCTTGCGTATCCTGCCTGCATTTTCAGAGCACTCCATACAATGTAGCCTACTGTTGAGATGAAGATGATCCTAATAGAGTCATTGTGAGGTGACTGAAGGGGATTGGTGTTAGTAGAGCTATCTTGAAGGCCAACACTGCACCCTAGTGGTTGACTGACAAAAACACTGGCCATACAAATATAAACATGCATTTCGACTAACAAGGCTAGACATCATTTGTGCTATATATATATATATATATATATATATATATTAGGGATGTCAAACGATCAATTGCGATTAATCGCATCCAACATAAAAGTTTGTGTTGTTTAGTAATATATGTGGGTGCACTGTGTATAATCATTTTATATATAAATACACACACGTGCTTGTATATATTTAAGAAATATTTTAATGTATATACTGTATATAGATTTATATATAATTTATATTATATATAATTATTTTATATATAAATAATTGTTTTTTCTTAAATATACAAGCATGTGTGTATTTATATATATATATATATAATGATTATACACAGTGCCCCCACATATATTATGTAAACACAAACTTTATTTTGGATGCGATTAATCATTTGAAAGCCCTATGTATATATATGTATATATATGTGTGTGTGTGCGTGTGTGTGTGTGTGTATATATATATATATATATATATATATATATGAAGAGTTCAGATGCAAAAGCCTCTAAATGCCATTTGAAATTTTCTTCTTTAATGATGATTTTTTATCAAACTTGTATATTTAAGTTCAGTAATTTCACTTAAATGGCAATGATAATTACCTATTAATTGTTATTTAAGTGAAATTAATTAAATAAAATATACAAGTTTGATAAAAATCGTCATTAAAGAAGAAAATTTCAAATGGCATTTAGAGGCTTTTGCATCTGAACTCTTCATATATATATATATATATATATATATTATTGTATATGTATACTATTATATATGTATATTTTTAAAAAAAAGAAAAGGACACAAAAATACAACACAAACTGCACTCGGTATTTTTTACCACTTAATTTATTTTCAAAAATACAAAACAAAAAAAATAAGTATATATGCACAGAAAGCTATTAAAATAGAATATGTGAAATACAAAATATATACACCAATTGATATTTTAACATAATCCTATCTCGTCCTTTTGTCTTTTATAGTATAATGGAGAACCAGCGGTTGTGCCTGCAACGAGAGAGACAAGAGAAAGCGTTAGAACAAAAGGATTGAAATTAAAAAAGCTAAGTATCATCTTGTTGACAGGCTAATGATTTTGTCACTAAACAGACCCGCTGCACTTTAAATCATATGAGCCATGGAATTACTAGTGCTAAATTCTCACAACACTTTGACGCCCCACAAACCGCAGCAAGACCCTGTGTGAAGCAATATGGAGAATAGCACTTCTATTGCATTTTTCAGACCACGAGGCGACATCAGGCATATGGCTTTTCCTAGTCCTAATAAATCTCTGCCTGTGCTGTGATTCCCCTCAGAAGATGTAAACCGGAGCACAGTAAATCGCTAGTGTGCTAGGGTAATATAGATCCCTCCTAAAGGCAAGGCAAACGGGCTGATAGTGTGAAAGAATGCGGTATGAAATTAGCTGGAGACGCTTGAGACTACAATACCTTTCCAAACCAGTGAGACAGCCAGAGACGCTTCATGGTCATGTGATCTGGGAGAGATTCGTTATTGAATAACATCTGGACCTGTAGCGCAACAAAGAGAGAGAAGGAGAGGAGAGAAGAAAACAGGGTAAAAAAGAGGTTTAGTTAAAGGGATAGTTCACTTTGAAATTAATTCATTTTAATTTAACACATTGCTAGCCTAAGACACAAAACGAGCGGTTTGTGTGAGAAAACCAACAGTATTTATATAGTTTTTACCTCTTGTAACCACAGAAACATCCAAGTGATTGGAGGGCGTGGGCGCTTTGTGGCTGTGGTTACAAGAGGTAAAACCGATGTAAATAATGTTCGTTTTCTCACACAAACCGCTCGTTTCGTGTCTTAGGCCATCAATGTGTACTTACATTTACGAGTCATTAAATCATGTTTAATTTGGACTTCTCTGTGCATGCTCTTTGAGGTGGTGACCATAGACCTCCATTATATGACTGACAGACAAGAACGGTTTGACCTAAAAATATCAAAATTGAAACTACTGTGGAAACAAAGACACCTACATCTTGGATGCCCTTGAGGTAAGATAAAACATAGCAAAAATTAATTTCAAAGTGAACTATCCCTTAAAAATCTCACTCTACTACAAATTACAGTAGAGAGATAGATTTGTTTGGTCGTCCAATTCGAATATTGATTAAATTTGATCATTGTCTAATACAGTGTCTGGAAGCATCGAAGCTGCACGTCACGTTCACTAACAATAGACCAATCAGCTGTAAGCTCGAGGCTAGACTCCATCAACACAACATGGGTGGATTCTTGATATGTATCATTTTAGTACACTGAAACTATTTTATACCTGGGATCAACTGAATATAGTTAGAAGCCAAAGATGAATTAAATTAGTAGACCAGATGCGACAAAAACAAAACAGTTACTTTTTCATCAATTATAAATTCATAGCATATAAATAGAACTAGTGGTGACGCAAAAGATTTGACAAAATATGACTTTCTGGTCCTAAATATAAAAGCAATGTCTCTTTAAAGCATGGGAAGAAATAGAAAAGCGAGTCACACCTGATGTTTCTCCACGTTAAGTCGATGACATAAGACTTTCCTCAGATGCCGAACTTCAGCCCTGACTGAACAACGTACAAACTTCTGCTGCAGGAACATCATTTAACATAAATTAATTTGTCATCGCTTCTAATAGAAACAAACAAGCAGTGTTAAGGTTTTCCTGAGAGTGAATCATGGTGCATCATATTCCTTCTTACCTGTAGAGTTAATTTATTTTTGTCCTTCCCGGAAAATGACGAGCTGTAAAAAAACAAAATGAAATTATGGTAGGATGCTTACCAACAAAGTTTTAGTTTTTTTTTATGTTTTTGCAAAAATTCTATACTCACTAAGGCTGAAAAAATTTGATCAAATATACAGTAAAATGTGAAATATTATTACAATTTAAAATAGATATTTACTTCATATGTTTAAAAGCTGAATTTTCATCATTACTTCAGTCTTCAGTGTCACATGATCCTTCAGAAAACATTCTAATATGATGATTTACTGCTCAAGAAATAGTTTTCATTATCTATCCATCCATCCATCCATCCATCCATCCATCCATCCATCCATCCATCCATCCATCCATCCATCCATCCATCCATCATCCATCCATCCATCCATCCATCCATCCATCCATCATCCATCCATCCATCCATCCATCATCCATCCATCCATCCATCCATCCATCCATCCATCCATCCATCCCATCCATCCATCCATCCATCCATCCATCCATCCATCCATCCATCCATCCATCCATCCATCCATCCATCCATCCATCCATCCATCCATCCATCCATCCATCCATCATCCATCCATCCATCCATCCATCCATCCATCCATCCATCCATCCATCCATCCATCCATCCATCCATCCATCCATCCATCCATCCATCCATCCATCCATCCATCCATCCATCCATCCATCCATCCATCCATCCATCCATCCATCCATCCATCCATCCATCCATCCATCCATCCATCCATCCATCCATCCATCCATCCATCCATCCATCTATCTATAAATTACAGGAACATCTGTCTCTGTGTGTGTGTGTGTGTGTGTCTGTTATTCGCATGTCTCTCGAACCGTTAGTCCGATAGATTTCAAACTTGACAGGTTTTTTGCTACAGGCAAATGCCAATTTTGACGTTGTTTGAATTAGAAATGCAAAAGATATTGTTAAATGACATCTATTCAGAAAAAAAGAGTATATATTTCCTTAAAAACTTTTGCACAGTATTGTAAAAAAAACAAAACATAATAAGCTTTACTGCCGTCGTACCTTTGCCTTTCCAGACATAGAGAGACCTGCTCATCGTATCTGTAAAAGTGAGCTTTGGAGTGGTCAAAGCTTGTGTAAGGTAATCCTGTGTTATCTGGAACTGAATCTACGAGGAAAACACAAACACACTTAAAAACAATCTTAATAAAAACACATTAACAGCAGTATCTATCTACATGTAATCCCGTACCTTCTCCAGATGGTTGTATAATGCGTTCAAGACCCCGTGACTGATAGAATTCTTTAATTCGCTTGTCTTCGCCTGAGAAGATCAGATGGACATTTAACCACAACTGACCATGAGTCACAATAAACGACACTCAAGTTCAGCTGATCCTGTGCGCTGTACTTACTCTCTTGTAGACCCGGGACTAGTTTGTAGACAATGTCTTGCATGACTCTATCCAGCTTTAGATTCAGCAGGGGCTGTGTTTCGTGGATTTTGATGTTACACATTGGACAATATTTGCTGGTCTGGAGATACTTCACAATGCAACTCTTACAAACTGTGGAGAGAGCAAGTATTCAATATAACAAAGTAACTTGTGGATTTGATCAGCACATATAACAGTTGTGAAGTTGGCTGCTTTAAAGGGATAGTTCACTTCCAGTGCTTCCGCAGACCGAAGCGCCCGTGCCTTCAGATCACTTGGATGTCTCTGTGGTTACAAGAGGTAAAAACGATATAAATACTGTTCGTTTTCTCACACAAACCGCTCGTTTCGTGTCTCAGGCCATCAATGTGTACTTATATTTACGAGTCATTAAATCATGTTTAATTTGGACTTCTCTGTGCATGCTCTTTGAGGTGGTGACCATAGACCTCCATTATATGACTGAAAGACAAGAACGGTTTGACCTAAAAATATCAAAATTGAAACTACTGCGGAAACAACGACACCTACATCTTGGATGCCCTTGAGGTAAGCTAAAACATCAAAAAAAAAAATTCAAAGTGAACTATCCCTTTAAGTCTGTGTTCATTTGTGAGTGTTATTAGGAGAGAGATGAAGTACACAACACTTACACGTATGGAGACATTCTGTGATAGTGGTTGCGTCGATAAAGTATCCTGCGCAGAGGTAGCAAACGATGTGTTCATTTAGGTCCTTTATCTTTATTTTAACTTCTTCCTGTGGTACCAAACAAGGGAAAACATGTCATGCAGGTAGTTTGAGATATGTGACATTCTGAATTTATGTAAAATCACCAGCCTTTGACATTAAAAGGGATAGTTCACCCACAAATTAATATTCTGTCATTACTTCCTAGGCAATGATGGCACCCATTGACTTCCATAGTAGGAAAAAAAAAAACACTATGGTTGTCAATGGGTGCCGTCAACTGTCTTTAAAATACTTTACTTTGTGTTCAAAAGAAGAAACTTAATACAGGTTTGAAACAACATGAGGGTGAGTAAATGATGACAGAATTTTCTTTTTGGGTGAACTCTCCATTTAAGCTGGTTTTAGGGCAGTCGTTGAATGCATAACCAATGTTGAAACTACAGAGTGTCTAAGGTAAAAAAAAGTATAAATATCAGTTGTATTAACAAAAGTTTCAATAAATTAGGTGACTAGTGGGGAAATACTTTCTATTTACATATAGCTGACATTGAATCAAGTCACTTGATTCAATGTCAGCTATATGTAAATAGAAAGTATACAATAGATTTTAAGTGTCAGAAGCATTGTGACATGCTGCAAATGTTATTGAAACTACTTGAATCAAAATTGTAATCTATAATTAGGCTATGCCGTTTTTATGACCACTTATTATCAATTATTATTTAAAACGAAGGCAAACTAGAGATGCCAAACGTGATTTGATAAAAATTGATAAATTACAAAAAAAGACGATACATTTATGTATTTTTACATCACGTGCCTTTTCTAAAATGAAGTACAATGTGTTGTGTATACAACTATTTACATGCGCGCTCCTTCGTGTGGTGCGGCAGAAGCGCGCACTTTTCACTTTTCAGCGAGTCAGGTGTCGGACTCATTTGTAAAAAAAGCGAGCCTGGGACCGGCTAAATAAACCAGAATATCGTCTAAACGAGTACTGCTAGTTTAATATCAATCATTGCGAGGACTTCAAGCTACTGAATTCAACAAGGACTCGATGTTGAGGTAAGAAGATAACGCCATGTCCCCGCATATGCACCTTACGTGTCACCTTACGTCCCACGAATTCTAAAGTACAAGTACATTTTCTGTCACTTATGTTCAACAAGGACACGTACTGCCGAAAAATGCATGCTGAAGCAGATCATGCACTTGTTCGCGTCTGGGCCAACGCGCATCAATAATCATGTGGGATATCACAGCTCAGCACGCGACGGCAACCACCACCGCTATTCGTTCAGGAGCGCAAACAACCCTTTTTATTCGTGTATTGAATTTTGGAGATGGGGGAAAAACTAAAAAGCAGGGGATTCGAATGGGACGGATTTGACAAGAAAACCACCGCCACGGAGGAGAACAAAAACACAACCGCGGCTAGACACACAGTAGATTGATTCTTCGCAACACTCACGCCTGCGCAGACACGCAGCACGGTCTCGCGCTCCATCTCTCGTCTTTCGCGCCACACAGAACGCCCCTCTCACGCGCGTTTATAGTAAGTGCGGGAAGCACGCGGCAAAAGACGGACGCAGAAACCTTTATCGCCCCTTTCACTCACCTCGTTCCTTAAAGGGTCGAGCTTGTAGACGTTCTGCAGCTGATTTCTTAGCCGCATAGCTATCGCCATCGGACCTTGTTCCGCCATCTTTGGGAATTCTGCATACTTCCGGGTAACGGGAGAGTGGGTGAGTTCGGTCTCTGAGAGGCGGGGGGACATGCTGGGTTTTTCACACACACACACTCATTTTCATCCAACATTGACATTATCATTGGGTGTGTGCAAACAGCATTCTGAAGTAGCTAGTCTTCACATGCGTTTGTCTCTTTAACTCTCTATGAGAGAGAGAGAGATCATAGCTATATCATGGATCATCCCTTATAATAAAATAATGAACCATAGTTTTATTAAAGTAGTGGATTGATTACCATTTGTAAAACACAATTTTACTACAAATACCACTGCTAAACTATGGTATTGCATGGCTGAACTAATTTTGGTTTAACTAGTAGTGCTGTTGGTTTTTATTTGTATTAAAACCATCGTTCATTTTCGTAAGGCCAAGTAGCCTACAAACTCAAACGGAATAGAGTAGAATAGAATAGAATGGAACATGGATAAAATGTTCAAGATTAGGTGGGCCAAAACGTATTAATTTAAAAATCTTTGGACCCCATAGCCTGTTGATCAACCACTTTGGCAATGGCATGTGTCAATATCTATGGTGGTTACGAATAGAACAGAATAGAATAGAAATTAATTTTTTTTTTTTAACCTTTATTTTACCAGGTAGGCCGATTGAGAACAAATTCTCATTTACAACGGCGACCTGGCCAAGATAAGGTGATAAAAGTGCAAGACAACAATAAGTTACACAATAAATACACAGGGCACAAAAGACAGACAAAAAAAAAAAAAACAACAACAATAAGACAATACAAGGTCAAAAAAAAGGAACATATAACTCTATTGGGTTATATGTTCTAGATCTTAATAGATCTACTAACTCAAAACGGCTGATATCTCCATCCTGAGACCTTCAGAATTTAAACGTTTAAAAAACTATTACTATAAACTATAAACTATTTACGTCTTTAAACTATTTAAACTTTTTTTTACCTTTACTTTTTGAATGAGAATAATAATTTTATTTGAATGCTACAAACTATTATGTATGTCTAATTTCCATTTTATGTGAACAATGGAGTAGATTCGCATTTAAAGGAAATTTCCTGCGTATGTACAAATGTTTAGCTTGACATATTTAATTCGAGAATGAAAACAAAGCTGTGAGGTAGACTGTAGGTAGGCCTACAGTCGGTTCAATTTGGTGTAGGCCTACAGTTGTATAGGCTATCTGATTGATCATTTAGTTGATAGGCCTACAAGTATACAACATTAAAATTGTATCTTTCCAAAACAACCTTTGGTGACAAGAACTCTGGACAATACCGACGTCTTGAACGACCATAACCCTATCTTTTTATTTGTGAACAATTAAACCGTTACGTTTGCCAAAGACTTTTGTTGTTTGTATGTAATTTTATTTTCGATTTCAAGCGACAGGATGCCGCTTTATTTGTATATTTTCAACCAATAACGTAGTATATCTCCCCAAAAAGTGTAATGTTGCAACGTGACCGCTAGATGTCCCTATAGTTACTTGAATGTAGTTATCAGCGGTTCTTGTTCTGCAGTCCAAAGTCTGGTTTCTGCTCTTTTTCATGACTTTTGGAATATAGCAAATGCAAATTCATCATTATTGGTTCCAATTCAAATGTATCTCTAAATGTGCTGCAGCAGTGTGCCTTAAAAATCCTCAGAAAGAGTTCATTTCTACCACACTGATAATATAATGTCTGATAAAAATCATGGCTTTGTAGTTTAAATTGGAGATATACAAGTACAACATTTGCTTGAGAAAATAATGTTGTAGATAGTTGGACTGCACACAGAAATATTCATTTTGCAATTTCTTCTTATTCTTATTTCTTCTTATTATAATGAAAGAATGGCTTAGAACAAAGTGGTTTTCTTCGTTTTAACGTACGTATACTGTCTCATAGGTGGTCTACCTGTCAAAACCCATTACAATTAGTCCTGTTTTCACCTGTTTGGACTCGATGTGTACTTTACACAAAAGTCTAATATTGACTGTCATTGCGAACCTGAATGAAGCAGTGTTTAACTCAGCAGTAACTGTAGATATCCATATGAGTTTTTAACACTGCAAGTCTGAACTGTGAAGCTGTGTTTTGTCTAAACAGACATCTGATGGGGTCAGCGCACATCTGAGTGACAGCACCTGACTCCACACACAAATCACGCCTTTGGGGCGGACAGAAAACAACCACAAGCTCTGCCGATAGATGAGCGCTTCAAAGAGAAGAGAAAGAAATGCTGAACCCTTTGGCGCACAGTGGCATTTATTTCTTCGCCTTATCTCAGACGGTTTATGGACAGTAAGACCTTCTCTTGTTGCCTTTTGTCTAGACGCATATCAAATCCTTCCAGCTTCTCTCCCCTAGTATCTAAAATGAAACAACAATTTGATTGTTTCACCTGTCAGCCAAAGGCTATCAAAGTGAAGGAGATAAGGTAAACTAATGTCCAATAAGTGGAGTCATTTCCATTGGATGGAGTTCAGTGCAGAGGGAGATACGAGAGGGATGTTACAGAAGGTTTAATGAAAACATGTCACTAAAATCACTGGCTGATACAATCTGTTTCTTGTTGAGATTCATTCATGTGAGGGAGAAGAACAAGAACATGTTTTACTAAAGCAATTACAATTGCCGACCGCCTTCACCCTGAATTGAAGCCATATCTTGATAAGTGGAAACAATCCGTCTCATTGATTCATTAAAAAGCTGCTTTATTTTCTTCACCGCTACAATGTGTTAACTCATGCAGCTTGACTGAAGATATGTAACCAGTGGAGCTTTATCAAAACAACTCGGTTCTGTATTTTTATTTTCATTTGATCAGAATTAGAAACAAAAGGTCTTAGCCCACAACACAATTGCAAATTAATTGTCTATTTCGAAAAGATTACACAAACCTTTTCTGAGATGTTATTTTCTCCTGAATTAAAGGAGTAGTTCACTTTTTAAAAAAAACTTTTGCTGATAATTTACTCACCCCCACGTCATCCAAGATGTCCACGTCTTTCTCTCTTCAGTCGAAAAGAAATTAAGGTTTTTGATGAAAACATTCCAGGATTTTCTCCATATAATGGACTTCAATGGGAACCAAACAGTTCAAGGTCCAAATGACAGTTTCAGTGGAAGCTGCAAACTGTTCAAAGGGCTTTAAACGATTCCAGATGATGTATAAGGGTCTTATCAAGCGAAACGATCGCTCATTTAATAAATAAATAAAATAATTTAAGTTTTATAAGCTCAAATGGTCGCCTTGCTCTGTTCTGTGATGCGCGTTCGTGACTCTCCTGTTCAAACTCGTTCATCAAAATGAACGAATCTTTTTCCGAGTCAATTCGTTCATTTCGTTCGTTGAATGAACCAAATGACTCGGATAAAGATTCGTTTCATTTTGATGAATGAGTTTGAACTGGAGAGTCACACAGAACAGAGCAAGGCGACCATTTGAGCTTATACAACTTAAACTTTTTTGTATTTATCGTCTGGAATCGTTTAAAGCCCTTTGAACAGTTTGCAGTTTGCACTGAAACTTGTCTTTTGGACCTTGAACCATTTGGTTACCAGTAAAGTCCATTATATGGAGAAAATTCTGGAATGTTTTCATCAAAAACCTTAATTTCTTTTCGCCTGAAGAAAGAATGACATGGATATTTTGGATGACATGGGGGTGAGGAAATTATCAGCAAAGGTTTAAAAAATCCCTTTAAGGGATTTAATGTTTATCCTGTAGCATTTATCCTTTAGTATTTATCCTGTACCCCCCACACCCCCATATAAAAATGCTCGATAAAAGAAAAAAGAAAGACGGCATGCTGAATTCAGTTCCCCCGGCCTAGACCTGTTCACCTAAAGCTCCAAAAACAACCAAACAAACATCCATACAGGGGAGGAGCCTCGCCTGCTAAGTCATGCCAAAGTGAGGCTTTCTGTTTGGGGCACACAGACTTTTGCCTCCCCCTGTCCCAGAGCAATCAGAGCATGTAGGGACGGACACCGAGCTTTTTGTTTTCGCCTGCTCCAGCAATTAGCTGCCAAGTGGCAAGCTAATGAAGATAACCCCCTCCAAGAGCCCTGGTCTGCTGCCAGGCCGCTGACGACAGCTCAAAACACAAAGACTCTTACGGGAAGAAGAGGGGGTAGTTCGGGATCATTTCATTGTCATTTCTTTTTTAAAACAGATTGTTAAAATTCTGATCAGTCAAGCCGCGTTTCAAGCGCTGTAACATAATACAACATGATGCACATACCGGTGACTGCACATCATTTTAATTCTACATGCATCAAAAAATGTTACCTATCAACTATATTATAACAAATCCAACAATTACTGAAATACTGTTTTTTATAGCTTTTATTATTTTATAAAGGCCTCTCAAGGCTGTGAGTTAAATTTATATAGCTTATATATTTCATAGTAATTCTGAGGCAGGCTAGATGGTATTCTTACAATTCATTGTTGACATTTGCAGTAAATACTAGGTTATATAATATGATTATTTCTTACAATTTTGGTACGTAGTTGATTAACTTTTTTTTCGTTGCTTCAATTTTCTACGTTAGAAATGTGAGTATCAACAGCATCTTTGAATCTGTTGTCAGAGGCACTGAACTCTATCAGCTCCTATAACCTGATGACTTAATTGGCTTACAGGCTGTTGAATAGTGAATGAGGAACTGAGTTATATTTCTGTGACCTGGATAACTGAACTTGACAATGTGTGCACAAAGAACAGACTTGACAACACACGTTTCACCATCCTTCCGTGATGTTCTACATATGCATCTACATCCTTTGTTTAAATATTTACATACTGTCTGCTGGTTTAAGTATGTTCACTCAAAACAATTAAAATCCAAATCTTTATGTATCATCTTGTTTTAAGTATAATTAGCAGACAGTTTTTTCCCCCACCAGGGGGCGCTGTGCAGAGAGTGTAGGCCTTCTGGGCAGCTGATAGTCCATCATTAGGTAACTGCAGTTAACCTTGACAAACTGTCCATGCCTGTATGTCTATTCTATAATGACTGGCAATATGCCCGTAATTTGGGTGTGCCAGCATGTCTAAAGATTTTCAACCCAGTGAGATCCGAGATTGTGGCCGAACTAGCTATGAAAGGTATGCTATGTTTACATTCAGATATATATTTTAAGCAGACACTATCTTAACAATGCAATTTACAAAGTTGCGTTCTGTTCCAGGTATTTGTGTTGGTTGGTAAACTTTACGGTCCATGCAGTACTGCACAGAAACAGTGCTAGAGACAAACAAAACCATACTAAACTACTAAGGCAGGTAAGCTCTTGACACTGTTTAATGGTAAATGTCTAGAAAAACGACCATCATGTGTGTATTATTGGAATATCATGAATTATGAACACTTTTACTTTTGTGCCCTTGTGAAAAAAAGTGCACTTTAGTGTACTTTTATAAAGTGTACTTATTACACAAATAATGTTCTTTAAAGTGTGAATTAAATGCAATGTTTTCTGTGCACTGAATGCATATTAAGTGTAATTAATTTCAAATGTATCATAGAAATAAAATGTAATAAGTTGCCATTAAGAGTGATATTTTGGAACAACTTAAGTGGGACTTAAATACAACTTTATATCTCCTTACATAATTGCTTATAGTGTATTTAAAATATAGTTAAAGTGCACTACACAATACAATGACGCAATTAATGTGAACTGAAATATACTTTAATGTAAATTAACAGTACACCTAATTCTTAATTTAATATAATGTTTCAAACACAAATACATATTTGCAAAATAAATTCAAATATCAATATAAATTTACATTAAATGCAATCAGTTGAACTTAAGAGTGATTTTAATGCATCTTTCTATAGTATGTACTTTAACTACTCCTATTGTATGTGAAATATGGTTATGTATTATGTATCATCTCCAGTCAATCACAATGTCACAAGTTGCTGATCAAGTCGAAGTAGCGTTAGTTTCAGTAAAATAAAGTGCAAATTATAACTCAACAGAAATCGAAGAACGGACGTCTTTTTCTTTTACATTTATCGTTTAATCAGAACGTATGTGAATATTTGAGTAATATTTACCATAATGCATCAGGATGCAAATGCACAAAAATTTACGTCGACTTCATTACTAAGTTAGTCATTATGGTGACTCTCAACTTGACCAATTACGTGACATTCGCTCATGCACCTTCATGTCATTGGCTAGTTTGTATGTCACTTTATGATTAAGAAATTATTTTGTTTGCAGATATACAACACATTGTAGTCTTAGTCTCACATTGTAGTGTGAGTTCACAAAACTTGACTCGTTTACCTAAGTAAAAGTCAATCATTTGTATAGTCTAGTCTAATTTAAATTAAATGTATTTAAACTGAATTTAAATGTAAAGTAATTTTGTTTCGATTTGTTTAAATTTGCTCACAATTAATGCAATTAAATGTGTGTTTAATTGACTTAGAACAAAATAATGATATTAAAAGTATTCCATACACAGATGTTAAGTACAATACTTAGGAATTGATCAGTATTTACTATTTATATGTATATTTACTTATTTATTTTGGATTATGTAATAAATCTGGTGCATTAACTGTTGAAACATTTGAAATTAATGACCATAAGTTTGGCGGTCCAACAGATACTGGATAATGTACAATTTTATTGCAGCATGTCAAAGACTTACAAGAAAAGAATTCTTTAAATGGACTCCTCAGTGCCCCATGTGACCCCACAGGGCTCGGTTAGAGTGGATATTTGTGCATTCGGTTTTCATGGTAACGTTTTAAAGCAGAATGGATTGTGGCAGGGTACACTTGATGGCCCTCTCTGATTTCACCCTCTGGAGAATGTACTCAGGTGGTCCTATCAGGTGTGAAACTGACTGCTGCAAAGACAGGGGATTTGTCAAGACAAGCTGGAACCATGCCCAGAGCAAAGGGGTTGAATGCTTTTAGGGTTTTCTTTTAAAATGTCACAATGCTGTCATTCACTAAGTGTGGTTGATTGCAAGCAGACCAGACTCATTTTCTGATGCTTATTCTTATTTTTCCACAGGTAAACCAAGGGAGAGATTACAGCAAGCATTAAGGAAACCATTTTGGACCCATCTCTGACTGGTTCAGACTTTGACACTTTCAATAACAGAAACCAAAATGACCTCTGCATGGAGAGATACTGGCAGGATTATGTTTTTGTCAATTTAATTAAAACTAATCCCAGCGATTCCGAATGATTAAAAACTCTGGTTTCCAATAAATCATTCAGTTAAATCAATGCCAGGTATGGGGCTGCTGATGGCAAAAGACTGAGCTTTTTGGTCTCAGATGAACTGGCATGGCATTCACGCCCGAAACTCCTGTTTGTTCAGAGGAGCAGCAGCCGTGCTAGCCTGGCACGGCATCACATTCCTTCATAACTGGCTCATTCTGGACTGGGCCCAATATAAAGTAAATTTGAACATAGAAGTACCTTTTCACAGGTGTTAAGACTGATACAGCAGCCAGTTCAGATGGGTTCTCCTGAAAGGATTCAACTAAATGTAAACCTCTCAGAAATGCCATAATGGAATTATGGGAATCGGTGGTTTGACCTGCATTGTTTTGAGTGGTACAGACTCCAAAACAACATTGTGGAAGACTCTTAGAGATGTTTACAACGAAGTTCAAGGTTCAGGGATGGAGGTAGGAACCTGCACACGATGAACATAACTTTAATAATATAAACAAAAAAAAGTAAAGCAGCAGCGCCTCATGGACGTCTGCCGCCTAAACGAAAATAGAAATAACAACATAATGTCCTAGGCCTGGTCCCCCCATCTTGCACTGTCATTTATCCTTCCAGAGCTTCTCTATGGGACGAGGACGGCCTCTGTCTGCTACATCCCCTGGTGGATGGCGACAGCTTCTCTGGCTTTGGGCTCCAGGCTACAAGCCCCCCGTTCCCTCGCTCGCCACCTTCTCCCCAGCATAGCGGATGGCACCAGGCTCTGGCCTTAGGCGAACAGGGTTAACTCCTCCATCTCCTCACGGATGGCAGATGTCCCTCTAGAACCCAGGCGGACGGCAGTGAGTTTATCCATCTCCCCGGCAAGTCACTCCAGCACCAACACCTCGGGTAGCCACTGGCGGTAACCGCTACTTTGTGCTACCAGACCCTCTCAGTACCACGATCCCCCTCAGTTGGACTTTCTGGAAGCATATCCCTCCTTCCTCCTGGTTATTGGTACTGATGTTCAGGGAAGGAGGAGGTGGGAACCAGCAAACAATCAATGTAAACTTTAATCACAAAATAAGCCCCTACAACCCCCCGCCGCATAAACTAAAACAAAACAAAACAACAACATAAAGGCCTAGGCCTGGTCCTCTCTCGTCTTGCACTGTTGTCACTTTTTCTTTTATCCTTCTGGAGCTCCTCCGTAGGACTCGAGACCAGTGTGGCACACAGGTGATGTTCATTAACACTCATGCTACCGGCCTCACTTTGCTCCCACGTCTCTTGGCCCCGCCCTGCTCGCCACAGTGTTATTGGAAAATAGTTAAAGGTTTAGTTCACCCCAAAATGAAAATTAAGTCATTAATTACTCACCCCCATGCTGTACCAACCCCGTAAGACCTTCGTTCATCTTCGGAACACAAATAAAGATATTTTTGATTGAATCTGAGAGCTGGATCAGTCCTACATAGGATGCCTAAGGGACTGGCTCTTGACGGCCCATAAAGTCATTAAAGAAAAGGTTTAAATATTCCATGTGCCTACAGCGGCTCAATTATAAGTTTATCAAGCGACGAGACTACTTTTTGTGCGAAAAAACATAAATAACGACTTAATTCGACTATTATATTACTTACTTATGGGCGCATGCGCGAGAACTGAGACGAGGACGTTCTTCTCCTTCGACTACTTTTTGTTACCGGCTGCTCCGCTTAGGAGTATTACCGCCACCTGCCGTATAAAATGATGATCCATATATAAGGCGCTCCGGATTATAAGGAACACTGTCGTTTTTTTTTAGAAGATTAAAGGCTTTTAAGTGCACCTTGTAGTGCGGAAAATACGCTAATTGAAAAGCGTATGTACAGCGCGCATCTTCCTCTGCTTGTAAACAGAAAGTTTTGCGCTTCCAGCTATATCAGCACATCATCTTATACGGCAGGTGGCGGTAATACTCCTAAGCGGAGCAGCGGGTAACAAAAAGTAGTCGAAGGAGAAGAACGTCCTCGTCTCAGTTCTCGCGCATGCGCCCACAAGGAAGTAATAGAATAGTCGAATTAAGTCGTTATTTGTTTTTTTCGCACAAAAAGTAGTCTCGTCGCTTGATAAACTTATAATTGAGCCGCTGTAGGCACATGGAATATTTAAACCTTTTCTTTAAAGACTTTATGGGCCGTCAAGAGCCAGTCCCTTAGGCAGTCTATGTAGGACTGATCCAGCTCTCAGATTCAATCAAAAATACCTTTATTTGTGTTCCAAAGATGAACGAAGGTCTTACGGGGTTGGTACAGCATGGGGGTGAGTAATTAATGACTTAATTTTCATTTTGGGGTGAACTAACCCTTTAATCTTTTATTGGATCAACCCAAACTACTGTCAATTCGCACAGAAAACAATGCTTTTTGTTTGCTCTCACAATGGAATCAAAGTCAGAGTGTTTAGAAGCAGATCGAAAGCTTGTGTATTTTGAGTTGCAAAGTCATCTAAACCTTCATTTTGATGTGGGTCTGCATTTCTTGGTGGATAAGTATCTGGCTATGTTTTACCACTGGATGGAGTTTGCTCCATTCAAAAATGACTTTTTTTAATAGTTATGTCACGTCCCTTCCGTGCCATATAGCTGGAATCGGTTCGATATCAAGCAATTAATTTTGAGTTGAGATTGGATTTTGCAATTAATATATTTTATTCTTGCAAATGATAAATGACAGTTTCTTGATAGATGATGGATTAAGGAAATGTTTCAATGTTCTGATAACAGTTGCATGTTTTGGAGCCTTTGATAAATCAGGTTTAGGCTTACCCAAAGATTGTAACGTGACACAGCAGTTTCCTCTGTAATTACTGAATGGCTGGATGTTCCGCCATTGTTATCTGCCATGGCTGCTTGAGATCATGCTTTAAGATGGCAAGAGACCATGTGCAAATCTAGCCCCACTTGCCCATGCCTAAGCAGTCAGAAGGGCTCACCTATAACAGCCCACAATGACGCAAGAGACGCCAGCACCCGATAACCGCTAATCAGAAACCTTGACCGCCCATGAGACGTAGCAAGCTGGCAGAGGCAGATAGTGGCCGTCTTTGAAGATTCAGTTCTTTCTAAGTTATGCTTTTGGCTCTTGGGGAAAGCTTTGATAGTTTTACAAAAAAGGCAGGGAAACCCTTATACCCACGCTACATTAAGGAGAGGATTGTTTTGGAGACTGTATTCTTCTGTCTGGTCTTCTTACCACCAACATGCAGGCATACTTTCATCTTTGGGTTACATCTTTTTGTTTGTAGCATGCAATGTTACTGTGCTGTTCTTGACTATGCTAGTAAGAGTAAGAGGGAGACAGACAAGGAGAATTCATTCAATTTTGTATTGCGTTTGTGTTCCAAACAGGATGCTGGCCCTCATCGTTTAGATCCAAGAAGATTTGAAAGTCCTTTGTAGTGGCACAATAAACCATCCAAAACCACTAAGGAGCTGAGTGCAGGTGCATAACTTCTGTGACACGCCAATCCTTAAAGCTTGCATCCTGAAGCTTGAAGCTTGCAGTTAACACATACACACAACCGGTGTTTTAACCCCACTCAATAAATGACACTCCCTTTCTAGCATCGGTCACATTACGTATCACGTACATCTTTTTTGGTTTGCATAGTACTTCTTCGTTGCAGGGGAATAGGAACGATCTGAAAATTGTGAATGTTTGCGACAGGTTTGTGCTGGGCACCAATCAGAATGGTTGAGAATTTGAACTTAGTAGTAAACAGGATGCTGAGTTGGATTCAAATTTGAATTTAAGGAAATATGATTAAAGTGAATTAAAATTCAAATGCATACATTTTTAGCCTTTTACTAGTCGAGAAAGACAATCTTTGGATATTATATGCAATAATTCAAATATGATGGGCACAAAATTCAGAATTGAAGAACTGACTTTCAATCCATTAGTTGGAAATGAATTGAATTGACCACGCCCCACATGAAATGGAATCGGAATGATTAAGAAATTAAATGTAATGCATTCTGGGAAACAGTTTTTGTCAGTTCAATTCAATTCCAACTCATGAATTGAAAGGTAGTCAGTTCTTCAAATCTGAATTTTGTGGCTAGCATGTTTGAATTATTGGTTACAGATGCAACCAAATGACAACATGCTTTTGTTTTGTCTTAAAGGGTTAGTTCACCCAAAAATGAAAATTAAGTCATTAATTACTCACCCCCATGCTGTACCAACCCCGTAAGACCTTCGTTCGTCTTCGGAACACAAATGAAGATATTTTTGATTAAATTTGAGAGCTGTATAACTACCACATTGGCTCCTAAGGGACTGCCTCTTGACGGCCCAAAAAGTCAATGAAGAAAATGTTTAAATATCCCAAGTGACTACCGTGGCTCAACTATATGTTTATCAAGCGACGCGAATACTTTTTGTACGAAAAAACAAACAAAAATAACGAGTTTATTCGACTATTTCTTTTCTTCCTTGTAGGCCAGAAACGAGACTTCCTTAGATTTCCACGACGCATGCGCGAGAATTGCGATCTAAGCTGGTGTAAGCAGATCGCAATTCTCGCGCATGCGTCGTGGAAATCTATAAGGAATTCTCGTTCTGGCCTACAAGGAAGAAAAGAAATAGTCGAATAAACTCGTTATTTTTGTTTGTTTTTTCGCACAAAAAGTATTCGCGTCGCTTGATAAACATATAGTTGAGCCACGGTAGTCACTTGGGATATTTAAACATTTTCTTCATTGACTTTTTGGGCCGTCAAGAGGCAGTCCCTTAGGAGCCAATGTGGTAGTTATACAGCTCTCAAATTTAATCAAAAATATCTTCATTTGTGTTCCGAAGACGAACGAAGGTCTTACGGTACAGCATGGGGGTGAGTAATTAATGACTTAATTTGCATTTTTGGGTGAACTAACCCTTTAAAGCTGCTTACCTACAATGCTCTTTACACTGCAGCTTAACAAAATTCTAAAATGTTAAAATGTGTTCATTTATATATGTTAAAATAATGTTTTTATTCCCAAAATAAGCAGGGACAAAGTTATAATTAGAAGTAGTGGGAGACGCAAAAGAACATGGGCACAGCAAGCAGAATTATTTTTAACCAGAAGATCGCAAAGCGGTACATGAATCCATTCTGTAATTAACCATAACTCATGTGCTCTCTCTTCAAGTACAGCAGAGAGAACATGCAGGTGAGAATACTTGAGACTGGGAGGACGCAGATCAACCTTAGGAATTATGTCCGCTCCGTGAAATTGAATTTAAAAATGAAGACATAAATAATATAGTCATGTCTATAGATATCTTCACCTCAGAAGGATATGTGGCAGACAAAGCACTCAAAAATCACACGCTGAGGCGCACACACAGACACAGATAAGGATGTCTCACTGCCTGAAAATTAAGAAATCATTAGAACCATTCATCATTGTGTTGGTGGGGAAAAAAACTTCACTCTTTTAAATAATTACTCTGAATCAAAGGCTAAGTGCAGAGAGATCAAAGTCAGGCATTCTTGAGTAATCCTCAAGTGTTGCAAATCTTCGGTAATCTACCTTGCCAGGTCCCCACTGTTTGACATGTCTTTACTGTAGAAAAGGGAAGGGTGCCATTAATTACTGCTTTGCTGTGCAGTTGTTTACTTTTGTTAAACCTGAGTGCTGCTTGATTTGTGGATCATCCTGTTTATGGATCACCCCCGTTTTTCTTTGTGTTTGTATGGACGTTCACACGATCAGTCTGTTTAGCTTGATGTCTGTGTTTGCTTTAGCATGTTTGTCTGCTTGTTCCAGGAGTTAGAAGTGTGTTTGCATGTGTGTGATTCTACGCTGGGGGAGTGAGGATGAGATTAGCTGTGGACTCTGAGAGATCGGACCGTTTACTTTTGTGTGTCGAAACGTATTCTTATAAAAAGTGGATGAAATTGTGCAACAGTGTGTCCCTCCCTCACCCTTCTAAACACCCACCTCAGAACTGACTTTCAAAACCCAGCGTTGTTTAAATTCAGAGCCGGTTCAAGGAAGTTCATCTCTTCATGCAAAATGATGAACCAAAGAGAGACTTGTGCACAGGGAGTGTAAGTCTTTGCCTGTTAACTGTGGTGACCAAAGAGTCACTCCTTCATGACATGCACCGGTGTCCTGGCAAACTTGTGAGCCAACTGAAGATTTGTGAGTGGGTGGAAGGTCTTTAATTTTCCTTCAGGTCCTGATCAGGGGGTGGATCAAAGTTACAGCGAGATTAAAGGACATTGGCCTGAGAGCGGAGCACAGCACACAAAACTCTTTGCCTGCATCGCTCTAATCCAGGCAGCAATCAGA